AAACACTGGATGGCCGTTTCTTCGTATATTTGGAACTCATCAGCAGTGCGCATCCACTACTGAGAATTAGAAGCCGGTTCAAGCAAGGATATACAAGTGATAGAAATTATTAGGAGGATTTGAGATTATCATAATTAAGTAATTCATCGAGTCTAGAAGAAACCTCAACAGAACGCAGAAAACACTGGATGGCCGTTTCTTCGTATATTTGAACTCATCAGCAGTGCGCATCCACTACTGAGAATTAGAAGCCGGTTCAAGCAAGGATATACAAGTGATAGAAATTATTAGGAGGATTTGAGATTATCATAATTAAGTAATTCATCGAGTCTAGAAGAAACCTCAACAGAACGCAGAAAACACTGGATGGCCGTTTCTTCGTATATTTGGAACTCATCAGCAGTGCGCATCCACTACTGAGAATTAGAAGCCGGTTCAAGCAAGGATATACAAGTGAGAGAAATTATTAGGAGGATTTGATCATAATTAAGTAATTCATTGGCGCACGATGAATTTAGATGTATTTATTTTTAGACAAATATGCCTGTGACCGGAGAACTCGATTCGTCTTAACGAAGAGTCTTGCATCCGCAGCAGGAATAGTCACTGTTTACAAATTCCCTTTTCTCCCCAAAGAGCTCAACCGAAATAATTTTTTTCAGGGAGCATATATATATATATATATATATATATATATATATATATATATATATATATATATATTGTCATCGATAAACAGACTGTTTCGCTGTTTCATCTGTGTGGCTAGACCGATTGCCTCAAAGGCGGGATCGAAACTGACTGATTTGGCATATGTCGGAGATTTTACCCCTGAGCTATCAGGTAGAAAGGAAGGCGAATTTTTGCGTATTTATTGTTTTGAATAAAAACGCCAGCGACCGAGAGGGCTCAGTTCATAGAAGAGCTTTGCATTATCAGCAGTTGGAGTGACTGTTTAAAAATTCGCGCTTTCTGTGCAGAGTGCTCGACCGAAATTAATTTTTCGGCGATGACTTGCACGCGTTCGACAATTGGGGAAGGGAATTTTTAACAGCTGCTTCTCCTGCTTAACGCTAGGCTCTGCGCTAGAATTGAGCACTATTGCTCTAGCGTTTATATACATGATGTATATAACACGTTAAAGTACACACTTTCTCTGTCGTGCGCCGAGAGCTTAGCAATTATGTCAGCATGAATGTCCTTGGGGCCTAAATCCTTCTTCTGCAGGTAATTGATAACACAACGATGTCAATTTTTGTCCCAGTTTCAAAAGTTTTTCAAGTTATTGAATACATTTGAAGTCTTCTTTCAAACAGTCAGTTTGCCTGGAAAGAAACAGCACAGTTTTAATTAAAAGAGTTGAAATGAATGTATGCAAGATTTCACTGCTCAAAAGTTCATAGGCTGAAAAGTTCATAGGCTGAAAAGTTCATAGGCTGACTATGAAGGAGTGATGCTAGAGCCGTGAAATCTTGTATGCATTCATATCAACTCTTCTTATTAATAACATCATTTTCTCATTCCAGTTACGAGGCTAGGCTGAAAAATTCATAGGCTGAATATGAAGGAATTATACTAGAGCTGTGAAATCTTGCATGCATTCATTTCAACTCTTCTTATTAATAATTGCAGTGTTTCTTTCCAGGTACGAGGGCGGGCTGAAAAGTTCATAGGCTGACTATGAAGGAGCGATGCTAGAGCTGTGAAATCTTGCATGAAGGAGTGATGTTACATCACTCTTACATAGTCAGCCTATGAACTTTTCAGCCCACCGCTGTATCTGAAAATAAACAATGCAGTTATTAATAAGAACTAGCAGTAGAGCCCGGCGTTGCCCGGGGATATAACAGTAAGAGATAGATCAAGTATCGACCATCATAAAGACTGAAAAATAAAATTGACAAAGATTATTGTTTAAGTTCGACTTAATTAGTTTTTTTTTGTTTTCTTTTTTACGAATTGGTCAAACTCAAACTCAAACAAAAACATTGTTTTCAATCGTTATGAGTCTCCCAATTGAATAGAATTTTATTATAAATAATTGTCTTGTAAATGGAATTTTTTAAAGCATTCTGAATGTTAAAAATAAAGAAAAAAGTGTGCAAGAGAATAAGAAACACTACCTGCCAAAAAAAAAAAAAAATGAAGTTTTGTTTTATCGGCTGAAAAATATAGGAAATCCGCTCCCATATTTAAAGTAACCCCGACACACAAACAAACCGATGTGAGTTGTCCCCTTCCATTTTCACGATGTCTCTTAATCGTGTTTTCAAATTGATTTTGTGCAAAACAATTATATTTTTCCCATTTTTGGCGCTGTTAGAACCACTACAAGGTAATTTTATGTAGTCCAGTGAAGTTTTGTTGAAATCGGTTGAAAAATGTAGGAAATCCGATCCAATATATAAACGTTACAGACACACACACACACACAATCTGCGTTTTATAAGTAAGATATATGAAATTAATGCATGCAAGGTTTCACAGCTCTAGCATAACTCCTTCATAGTCAGCCTATGAACTTTTCAGCCCACCGCCGTATCTGAAAATAAACAATGCAGTTATTAATAAGAATATATGAAATTAATGCATGCAAGGTTTCACAGCTCTAGCGTAACTCCTTCATAGTCAGCCAATGAACTTTTCAGCCCACCCTCGTACATGGAAACAAACAATGCAGTTATTAATAAGAAGAGTTGAAATGAATGCATGCAAGATTTCACAGTTCTAGCATCAACCTCATAAATATATCTCATTCTGTTATCTATTTGTCTATCACAGTCAGTTTATCTATCTATCTATCTATCTATCTATCTATCTATCTATCTATCTATCTATCTATCTATCCGTATCTGTCCATTATCTGTCTATCTATCTATCTATCTATCTATCTATCTATCTATCTATCTATCTATCTATCTATCTATCTATCTATTCGAATCTGTTCATTATCTATCTATCTATCTATCTATCTATCTATCTATCTATCTATCCGTATCTGTCCATTATCTATCTATCTATCTATCTATCTATCTATCTATCTATCTATCTATCATCTATCTCTATGTATCCGTATCTGTCCATTATCTATCTATCTATCCGTATCTGTCCATTATCTATCTATCTATCTATCTATCTATCTATCTATTCGAATCTGATCATTATCTATCTATCTATCTATCTATCTATCTATCTATCTATCTATCCGTATCTATCTATCTATCTATCTATCTATCTATCTATCTATCTATCTATCTATCTATCTATCCGTATCTGTCCATTATCTATCTATCTATCTATCTATCTATCTATCTATCTATCTATCTATCTATCCGTATCTGTCCATTATCTATCTATCTATCTATCTATCTATCTATCTATCTTATCTATCTATCTATCCGTATCTGTCCATTATTATCTATCATCTATCTATCTATCATCTATCTATCATCTATCTATCTATCTATCTGTCTATCCGTATCTGTCCATTATCTATCTATCTATCTATCTATCTATCTATCTATCTATCTATCTAATGTTTCAATAATGATCTACCGATATATCTAACTCTGGCAGCCATTATTATTTAGTCGGTGTCTTTCTTTTTATTTCTGAATTACCCAAACTGTTTGACCAAACGTCGGCTTTATTTTATTCCTATTAATCTTGGAAGGCTATTAGTTGGAGGATTATCGCTTTGAAATAATTAGAAATTGTGGCCTGGGGTCATTACGTGCAGACGGGTCAGCAAGTGCTGAATGATCCGCTTACACTATACAAACCTGTCATCATATATATATATATATGTGTGTGTGTAAACATATGATGTAAATGCAGAAAATTTAAACTCTTTATAATAAAGGGAGAATATTATATATATATATATATATATATATATATATATATATATATATATATCATAACAATTTTAGGCGAATGAATGAGATACCACTTTTTCATTAATTTAAAAATGACGAAGTAATAATAAAATATGCCTTATGTAATAATTAATTTAATCATTGTTGAAGAACCGCGAAACTCAAAGACGACCTGCTATAATTGTTGTAAATTTCAAATTATTTTTATACAATGCATGCATATATACATATATATGAAAATTTCTCAGAGTTAACCTGTAGAAAAGACAATATTTATAAATATAAATGACAATAGGAAAACTGTAATAGTTGCTTTCACTTGTCTCTTTTTCACTCTATTCGACCTGTGAGTATCAGATTTTCCAAGTCCTCCTTTCTCATTACGTGTTCCCGCAACTTCAGCTGCCTCTTCTTGATGTTAAGTATAAGCTTCCTCCTTGTTTGCATCCTCTCCAAAACCTCATTGCTGCTCAAATATTCTGTTCATCGTATCCTTATCATCCTTCTGTAGAACCATACCTCTGTTGCCTCGAGTCTCTTCTTCATCTTTGAGGAGACCGTCCAACATTCGCTGCCGTAAAAGTGGATAGATGCCACGTAGCAGTTCAATACCTTTTTCTTTGTTACCAAAGAAATCGTTCTGTCTCGTTTAACCATTTTCAATGCTGTTTTGCGATTATCAGTTTTCAAAATGGCTGACTTTTTTTAATAGCGTTCCCGTGATCGACTCTTTATTCAAATTTTTTTTTACAAAAGAAATATGCCAGGATGCCGACAGTTAAAAATAATTTAATTACTTTTATTTATTAGATTATTGGCGTTCTTAAATTCTGTAATTTGTAGTTTTTCATCAACGGCTTGCAAATTCTTCTTTCTTTTCTATTTATCGTTCTTATTGTATACAATTCTACTAACAATGTTTTTTCCCCGACAATCTTTAACTTTTGTATCCACAAAAAGAAAAAAGAAAATAAAAAAAAACCGTGTGTACAAAAGGACGGTGTTTCCTTTGACAGCCATAACTCCTTGCCGATGTTAATTGTTTTGATGAGAATTTTAATAAAATCTAAACGAATGATTAAAGTGAATCTATACTTATTTTTTTTTTGTTCTTGCACAAGTTTACAGCACCTGATATTTCAAAGCGGTCACTCATGTAGGTACTGACCAGGTACGACGTTGCTTAACTTCGGTGATCTTACAAGAACAGGTATCTCAACGTGATATGGCAGTAAACTAGCGACGTAGAGATAGATAGATAGATAGATATATAACAACAGACTGTGACAGATAGATAGATAGATAGATAGATAGATAGATAGATAGATTGGAAAAATGATATACCGTGTAACCCGGATATAAGAGACCCGGATATAAGAGACCCGGATATAAGAGACCCGGATATAAGAGACCCGGATATAAGAGACCCGGATATAAGAGAGATTTTCTCTGGTCCCAAATTAGAGCCATACTTACCTAAACAAAATAGACCAAACCAGGATATAAGAGAAACCCGTAGCCATCTATCTATCTAGATATAAAACGAATTAGATAAATAGATAGTTTGAGAAAGACTGATATAAACTGGAACACAAAGAAAGATCGATCGATCGATCGATAGATAGATAGATAGATAGATAGATAGATAGATAGATAGATAGATAGAAAGAAAAAGTAAGAAGAAATGTGATTGGCACAGATATGGCTAAGATGAGATAGATAATAAAGAGACGAAAATAGATAGATAGATAGATAGATAGATAGATAGATAGATAGATAGATAGATAGAAAAAGGATGAGATAGGGAGATATAAAAAGGATGTGATAGATAGATAGACAAAGGAAGAGATAGATAGATAGATAGATAGATAGACGCAAACTGACCGACATAGGTATAACTAGAAGGAGATAGATAGATACAAAAAGGAAGAGATAGATAGATAGATAGATAGATAGATAGATAGATAGATAGATAGATAGATAGAAAAAGGATGAGATAGGGAGATAAAAAGGATGTGATAGATAGATAGATAGATAGATAGATAGATAGATAGATAGATAGAAATAAAGAAGGAGAGAAGGAAGGAAAGAAAGAAAGAAAGAAGGACAGAAAGAAAGAAGCAAACTGACCGACATAGGTATAACAAGAATGAGATAGATAGATAGATAGATAGATAGATAGATAGATAGATAGATAGCAAATGGATGAGATAGGCAGATATGAAAAGGATGTGATAGATAGATAGATAGATTGAATGATTGGGTGAAAATATTCATAAAAAACTAAAAGAGTATGGCGATGATTGAAAGTGAGAGATCTATAAACAAACAAGCGGCAGATTAATAATATAAAAAAACTCAAACAAACGTGTAAGAAGAATGGAAGTAGAAAAGTATTTAATGTAACATGGCGTCGTATTAGCAGCTTTTGTCTTGTAAAGATGGCGCCAATCGTTCGAGTGCCGCCTGCAAGTCACGACCAAAAATCAATTCGGAGATTTTTCAAGATGGCGACTCTCTTTAGATGTGGCGGCAAGTTAAGTCCTAAGCAGTGTTGTTGACGGTATAAACGGCTTCCCCTCCCCCCGTCTACCCTGAATTCCCGGTTCGGTTGACGAAGCATTTTAGATTTACAACCTGTTGTTTGTAGGTTGTGAAAACAATAGATCCAAATGCGAACAATGTAAATGTACGCTTCGTTCTAAAAACACAAATAAATGCATGAACAAACAAATAAATAAATCCCGGAAAACAATATTTTGGGAACTATATGGCATCACCGTGACAGTCATTATGGCCGTCTGAGTTCACTTCCGGTACATATATGCTAGAGTTTAAATGTTTTGATATCAAAAGATAATTCACAATGTAATGAGGAGGAGAACGGGAAGAAATAAAGAAAGATGAAAAAAATCAAAGTGAAGACACTCTCTCTCTCTCTCTCACACACACACACACACACACACACACACACACACACACACATATATATATATATGTGTCACTTCTTTTTTTTTTCATATATATATATCCACCGTGCCTCCCACTTATATATATATATATATATATATATATATATATATATATATATATATATATATATATATAATGAAATAGACAATCATTTTAAGACATTTTTATGTTTATACATTCTTTTATAGATACAAATATTTAAGTAAATGCTCTGTTTTATGATAAACAGTATTAAACAAAATTTACCGACCTGAATGTCCGAGAAATTTTCATAGAAAATATTCATTCTCCGAACCTATACGGAACCGTCATTTAGCCTGACGTGCCTTAACCGACCGAGCCACGGAGAATCGTTCGACTGGCAAGGTCAATTTTACTGCTTTTAAACTTCAATCGTCCATGAATCTCTCACGTACATTCATATCTGCTCAAAGCGTATCCAAATGTAAATAAATGACGTCACACATGAAATGGACAAAGTACGACAATTATTTTAAGACATTTTTATGTTTATACATTCTTTTTATAGATACAAGTATTTAAATAAATGCTCTGTTTTTATAATAAACAGTATTAATACCATTTACCGGCCTGAATGTCTGAGAAATGACTTTTCCGTATAAGATACAAGTTCGATTCCTGTCGGAGGACGAATATTTTCTATGAAAATTTCTCGGACATTCAGGCCGATAAATGTTATTAATACCGTTTATTATAAAACAGAGCATTTGCTTAAATATTTGTATCTATAAAAAGAATGTATAAACATAAAAATGTCTTCATATATATATATATTTATGTATACAGGTTAGTAGTGCATTGTGGGTAGTCTAATGTATTGTGGGTAGTTTATTCCTACGGTTATATAGGCGGGGGTGGTTTGTTAATTTGTTTATTATTTACTTTATTTATTTATTTGGATTAATTTATTTTACTTGTTTTTGCTTTTTTATTTTATTTATTCTTTTCAGTTATCGGTTTTTAAATAACGTAGTAAAAATTTGTTTTCGTGTCTGCATTTTGAGATGAGTTCTGATCGTTTATTTAGTAGTTTGTTCTGGTCTCAGCAGATAATTATTACTATTTTTCTTCCAGGCAAAGTTTTCAATTTTTGGATTGATTGTTGTAGGCTGATGTTCTTTTCCTTATTATCCGTGATATTTTGGGTGTGATTTGCTTTTTTGTTTTTAATTTCCCACATATACTTGAAACGCATTGTGCTGTTCGCGTATTTACTATTTGTGTTTTATGTGCGTAGTTTCTTTGTTTTCAGTGCACTTCAGTTACTCCTATGTATTTTTTCTTCCTTATCTGATGATTTTACCGTGGCTTGGTATATTATATTGTTTTGTAACAAAGAAACAGTCTATCGCCTTTGACTATTGATTCAATGTTCACTTATATATTTACATACGCTTTATCTTTGACACTGACCACTTTATCCCATAAATATAGCTTTTCTTAAAACTATATTTCTTCATATATATATATATAAATAGATAGTACAAACTGACTCAGAATGAATTGTCATAGACTGTTATTAATAGAAAGAGAACGGAAGATCTATTAGTCAATATATATATATATAAATCAACCGTGGAGAGATCCGAACTCGGGTTTCATGGTCAGAAAGCGCTCGGCCACGCGCCCATATATATATATATATATATATATATATATATATATATATATATATATAATTTTTTAATAGCCATGCAAATTTCACAATTATTGAAAGAATAGAAATAGACACAAAAGACAAAATCAGGAAAATACTACAAGAACATGAAGACAAATGGATTTTGCGACTCAAAATACTTTTTCCAGAGGGATTCAACAGCAAATCAAACAGCACAGATAGAATTAACAGACTACCCCATAAATCACCCAGATTTCTCTCACAGATGTTATAATCTCTGTATAGTATAAGCACGGTGGAGTAATGGATAGCAGCTTGGACTGATGAATCGGAGAGTCGAGTTCGAATTCCAGTCGAATCCATTACATTCACTTACGTGATAATAACCTTGGGAAAGGTATGAATCCTCTGGTCTACCGCAGAAAGAAATGGCAACCTACTGCAGGAAAAACTGCCTCGTCAGTCATGTGTCGTAAGATATATTATCACCTAAGCGTGTATCACTCATGGCACATATTTGATAGTTGAATATATCCTGCTGCTACTATATAGATGGCACCACCCATAAAGGTAAACGTCCGCTAAACGTCCCACCCTCAAACAGAGCAGATAGACAAGCTCACAAAGGTGATGAGGTCTCCCTTACAAACACTCGCACATACACTCATACACAGATATATACACATACATAAATTACTGTTATGGGAACTTACCCATAATAATAATGGACTATTCCTGACATTATAAATACTGCGTCTCTCAAGAGGTATGAGGAGATTGTAAGACGAGGAGAGATAATTGAGAGCATATTGTAAGGACATTGGAATAGTGATACTTGTCGAGACAACATAGTTCACTCTAACCAAATCTGATAGCCAATACTAATACTTCTACTTCTTTGTATTATATTTCTGTTGTAATATATCTTTGTATTCCATACCTGTGTTCGTGTTAGTCTTTCATTGGTTCTAACCTTGGACCGTCACCGTGGTATAATCTTTAATCTCTTTAAAAACAAAAACAAGAAACTTTAAAAATATCTTTGACCAATCCCAGAACTGACAACAAATTAACGATGTAAAAATAGATGAAAACTACAGGTTGAGTTCAACTTGTTCCGTGGCGTAATGGATAGCGGCTCGGATTGAGGAATCGGAGAGCCGAGTTCGAATTCCAGTCGAATCCATAACATTACTTACATGCTTTCCTTGGGAAAAGTATGAATCCTTTGCTTCTTCCTCCAGCTATGCGTAAAATAGCAGGACAGACTGGGTTCTATAGCCTTGGATGGCAACTGGTCTAGAAGGAGGACAACTCTGAATTCAAAACCTGTGGAGGGTTGTTTGGGGACATTGTGGCATACGGGGCACCAATCTCCATATTCGGCCCTTCTGCACAAAACCTTCAGTACTATAATCAGATCACACGTGCTGGTGTCTGGCTGTCAGTTCCTAGGAACTGAGTTGCTTGATCCTCATACGTCGAATTCTATATATATATATATATGTTAAGAAATGGACAAGGTCCGACAATTTATTTATTAAAGACATTTTTATTTATGTTTAACGTTCTTATTTTATAGATACAAGTATTTAAGCAAATGCTCTGTTTAAGATAAACAGTATTAAATAACATTTACCGGCCTGAATGTCCGAGAAATTTTCATAGAAAATATTCGTTCATAGACAGGATTCGAACCTGCATCCTATACGGAACTGTCATATATATCTTAAACAGAGCATTTGCTTAAATACTTGTATCTATAAAATAACAACGTTAAACATAAATAAAAATGTCTTTTAATAAATAAATTGTCGGACCTTGTCCATTTCTTAACATATGACGTCATTTGTTTACATTCGATACGCCAGAGCAGTTATGAATGTACGAGATTCATGGAAGATTGTAGTTTATAACAGTAAATTCGACCTTGTCTACCATAAGGTTCATGGTGGCCGAGTGGTTAAGGCATGTCAGCGTATATGACAGTTCCGTATAGGATGCAGGTTCGAATCCTGTCTATGAACGAATATTTTCTATGAAAATTTCTCGGACATTCAGGCCGGTAAATGTTATTTAATACTGTTTATCTTAAACAGAGCATTTGCTTAAATACTTGTATCTATAAAATAAGAACGTTAAACATAAATAAAAATGTCTTTAATAAATATATATATATATATATATATATATATGTATATATATATATGCAAGCAAATATATGGATATAGATCCGACAGTATGAAGAAAAATATACGGAAAAAACAAACAAAAATCCTTATATACAATTATGCTGTTTTAATGTTAATATGTCAACGTCAGGACATAAAACTTTCACTTATCTGTTGGATAAATCTTGTTCTTATGTACATCGTCTTTGTCATGTTGAATTGATAATGTTAATTATATTTTATGAATATGTCCTGAAGATGGTTTATTTTACCGAAACGTCCGACGTTGACATATTAACATTAAAACAGCATAATTGTATATAAGATTTTGTTTGTTTTTTCCATATATCTTTCTTCATATATATATATATATATATATATATATATATATATATATACTGTATTGGCGTGATCTAACGCATTAGGCAAGAAAACGAAAGAAAAAAAGACCAAAAATGCAATCACCTACAGACTCAGTAAAATGCTCAAGTCTTAGATTATGGAGACAGAACAAAACTGCTTGACTATGTAAACACATAACAACGTTAACACTTAACATTACTCGAGTTTCTCTGGCAGTTTGAGACAATTTTGTGTGTGGGTGTGCAGAGGGTATGTAAATAGGTAGATAAACAGATTAGATAGATAGATGAAGATATGAAATATATATATATATATATATATATATATATAGAGAGAGAGAGAGAGAGAGAGGAGAGATAGATAGATAGATACATACATAGATGGATAATGAGATGATTGACATGGATAGCTAGCTAGCTAGATAGATTGATAATGAAGTGATTGACATAGATAGATAATGGCATGATTGAGATAGATAGATAGATAGATAGATAGATAGATAGATAGATATGATAATGACGTGATTGAGATAGATCGATAGATAGATAATGACGTGATTAACATAGATAGATAGATAATGACGTCATTGACATAGATAAAGGCATGATTGAGAGAGAGTGACAGATAATGACGTGATTGACATACATAGATAAAGATATATAGATAGATATATGATTACGGGATTGAGATAGATAGATAGATAGATAGATAGATAGATAGATAGATAGATAGATATGATAATGACATTATTGTGAGAGAGAGACAGATACATAATGACGTGATTGACATAGATTATAACGTGATTGAGATAGATAGACAGACAGATAGATGACGTGATTGACATAGATAGATAATGGCATGATTGAGATAGATAGATAGATAGATAGATAGATAGATAGATAGATAGATAGATAGATAGATATGATAATGACGGGATTGAGATAGACAGTTAATGACGTGATTGACAGAGATAGATAGACAGTACGATAATGACATGATTGACATAGATAGATAGAAAGGATGAGATAGATAGATAGATAGATAGATAGATAGATAGATAGATAATAAACAGATTTAGTCAACAAAATTGATAACTTTGACAGGTATAAATGGAGAGCGAAGGACTGGGAGAGTAAGGAGACAGAGCGAAAACACATCAAAGAGTTACACGGCTCGTACTCTCCCTGTGATGGCGCATGCAATGTCTTGTGTCGAGTAACAAAGAAACGGCTTGATATGTTACCTACCTTTATCTACACAGACGAAGATGTGATAATATATAAGTAAAGATGAATTGGACGTCTTCCGCAAATTTAGCCGAAGAATAGAAAAAGGGATAAAAGAAAAGGAAAAAAAAAAAAAACAAGAAAAAATGGCGGACAAACGAAGCAATAAACAAATAAATGCAAGAGGCAGGATCCGTTGTTATTATAAAGTGTGCCTTTGTTGTTGTTCTAAATGTTTGTTGTTTTTCGTAACAAGCGTCAGTCGAAACGGCCAGAGCGGGTAGGAGTCGGATGGTAGAGGAAGGTGGCTGGTTAAGAGCAAGAGGGTGGGTGATAGGTAAGCAATTGCGAAAGACAAAATGCGAGATGGAGATGGAGAGGGTGTAAGACGAATCGTTGGCGATGGGGTGTGGTCGCTGCTGTTGGTGTTGGTTGCGGTGAAACTAAAAAAGAAATAAATAAAGAACTGAATGTTCTACCATTCTTGTTGACATGCGTCAAATTGCTTGATGTCTATTTTTCGGGGGTCGATCGGTACATGCACGTCACGTGGTCTCTTACTACTGAACGGGTAAAGCGGTACATGAATAAATGGCATTTCATAATTGCTAATGAATAAAAGGACTTCTTTTGTTCTTTTCGCCTAAGTTTCTTTCTTTCTTTCTTTCTTCTTCAACTTCACTATCCTCCTCCTCCTCTTCCTTCTTCTTTTTCTTACTCTTTTAAGGCTCTCTGCTTCTTCCTCTTTTCCTTCTTCATTTTCTTTTTCTTCTTTTTCTTCTCACTCCTAGTTATTCTTTTAAGGCTCTGTGCTTCTTCTTCTTCTTCTTTTCTTCTTCTTCTTCTTCTTCTTTTACGGTTTCTCTTTTTCTTGTTATTCTGACTCATTACTATTCTTTTCTTCTTCTTCTTTACTATTATTTTACAGTTTCTCTTCTTCTTCTTCTTCTTTCTGCTTGCTATTCTTTTAAGGTTCTTCTTCTTCTTCTTTATTATTCTTTTACACTTTCTTTTCTTCTTTTTCTTCATCATCATCATCATCATCTTAATATACTTTTAAGGTTCTTCTTCTTCTTCTTCTTCTTCTTCTTCTTTTACAGTTTCTCTTCTTCTTCTTCTTAATATTCTTTTAAGTTTCTCTTCTTCTTCTTCTTCTTCTTCTTCTTCCTTACTATTCTTTTTAAGGTTTCTCTTCTTCTTCTTCTTCTTCTTCTTCTCTTCTTCTTCCTTACTTTCTTCTTACTTCTTCTTCTTCTTCTTATTCTTATTATTCTTTTTACAGTTTCTCTTCTTCTTCTTCTTATATTTTTTAGGTTTCTCTTCTTCTTCTTCTTCTTCTTCTTCTTCTTCCTTACTATTCTTTTACAGTTTCTCTTCTTCTTCTTCTTCTTCTTCTTCTTCTTCTTCTTCTTCTTCTTCTTCTTCTTCCTTACTATTCTTTTACAGTTTCTCTTCTTCTTCTTCTTCTTATTCCTTTGGGTTTCTCTTCTTCTTCTTCTTCTTCTTCTCTTCTTCTTCTTCTTAATATTCTTTTACGGTTCTTTCTTCTTCTTCTTCTTCTTCTTCTTCTTCTTCTTCTTCTTCTTCCTTACTATTCTTTTAAAGTTTCTCTTCTTCTTCTTCTTCTTCTTCTTCTTCTTCTTCTTCTTCTTCTTCTTCCTTACTATTCTTTTTGGTTTCTCTTCTTCTTCTTCTTCTTATTCCTTTCTCTTCTTTTTCTTCTTCTCTTCTTCTTCTTCTTAATATTCTTTTTAAGGTCTCTTCTTCTTCTTCTTCTTCTTTCTTCTTCTTCTTCTTCTTCTTCTTCTTCTTCTTCTTCTTCTTCCTTACTATTCTTTTACAGTTTCTCTTCTTCTTCTTCTTATTCTTTTAAGGTTCTTCTTCTTCTTCTTCTTCTTCTTATTCTTCTTTCTTTTACTTTCTCTTCTTCTTCTTCTTAATATTCTTTTAAGTTTCTTCTTCTTCTTCTTCTTTTTTTTCTTCTTCTTCTTCTTCTTCTTCTTCTTCCTTACCCCCTTTTCTTTTTCTCTTCTTCTTCTTCTTCTTCTTTTTCTTCTTCTTCTTCTTCTTCTTCTTCTTCTTCTTCTTCCTTTCCTTACTATTCTTTTACCGGTTTCTTCTTCTTCTTCTTCTTCTTTCTTTTAAAGGTTCTTCTTCTTCTTCTTCTTCTTCTTCTTCTTCTTCTTATTCCTTTTTCTTTTTTGGTTTCTCTTCTTCTTCTTCTTAATATTCTTTTAAGGTCTTCTTCTTCTTCTTCTTCTTCTTCTTCTTCTTCTTCTTCTTCTTCCTTTCTTCTTCTTTTAAGGTTTCTCTTCTTCTTCTTCTTCTTCTTCTTCTTCCTTACTATTCTTTTACAGTTTTCTCTTCTTCTTCTTCTTCTTTTACTATTCTTTTCTTCTTTCTCTTCTTCTTCTTCTTCTTTCTTTTTCCTTTCTTCTTCTTCTTCTTCTTTTCTCTTCTTCTTCTTCCTTACTATTCTTTTAAGGTTTCTCTTCTTCTTCTTCTTCTTCTTCTTCTTCTTCTTCTTCTTCTTCCCCTTACTGTTCTTTTACAGTTTCTCTTCTTCTTCTTCTTAATATTCTTTTAAGGTTCTTCTTCTTCTTCTTCTTCTTCTTCTTCCTTACTATTCTTTTAAGGTTTCTCTTCTTCTTCTTCTTCTTCTTCTTCTTCTTCTTCTTCTTCTTCTTCCTTACTATTCTTTTACAGTTTCTCTTCTTCTTCTTCTTAATATTCTTTTAAGGTTCTTCTTCTTCTTCTTCTTCTTCTTCTTCTTCTTCTTCCTTACTATTCTTTTAAGGTTTCTCTTCTTCTTCTTCTTCTTCTTCTTCTTCTTCTTCTTCTTCTTCTTTTCCTTACTATTCTTTTACAGTTTCTCTTCTTCTTCTTCTTAATATTCTTTTAAGGTTTTCTTCTTCTTCTTCTTCTTCTTCTTCTTCTTCTTCTTCTTTCCACTATTCTTTTTAGGTTTCTCTTCTTCTTCTTCTTCTTCTCTTCTTCTTCTTCTTCTTCCTTTGGTTTCTTTTTCTTCTTCTTCTTCTTCTTCTTCTTCGTCCTTCCTATTCTTTTTTTTAGTTTCTCTTCTTCTTCTTCTTAATATTCTTTTAAGGTTTTTCTTCTTCTTCTTCTTCTTCTTCTTCTTCTTCTTCTTCTTCTTCTTTCTTTTTAAAGGTTTCTCTTCTTCTTCTTCTTCTTCTTCTTCTTCTTCTTCTTCCTTACTATTCTTTTTACAGTTTCTTCTTCTTCTTCTTCTTTTTATTTCTTTTCTTCTTCTTCTTCTTCTTCTTCTTCTTCTTCTTCTTCTTTCCTTACTATTCTTTTAAGGTTTCTCTTCTTCTTCTTCTTCTTCTTCTTCTTCTTCTTCTTCTTCTTCTTCTTCCTTACTATTCTTTTCAGTTTCTTCTTCTTCTTCTTCTTCTTTTAAGGTTCTTCTTCTTCTTCTTCTTCTTCTTCTTCTTCTTCTTCTTCTTCTTCTTCTTCTTCCTTACAGTTTCTTTTTGGTTTCTCTTCTTCTTCTTCTTCTTCTTCTTCTTCTTCTTCTTCTTCTTCTTCCTTACTATTCTTTTACAGTTTCTCTTCTTCTTCTTCTTCTTACTTTCTTTTTGGGTTTCTCTTCTTCTTCTTCTTAATCTTCTTTTAAGGTTCTTCTTCTTCTTTTTCTTCTTCTTCTTCTTCTTCTTCTTCTTCCTTTAAAGGTTCTTTTCTTCTTTCTCTTCTTCTTCTTCTTCTTCTTCTTCTTCTTCTTCTTCTTCCTTACTATTCTTTTTACAGTTTCTCTTCTTCTTCTTCTTCTTATTCTTTTAAGGGTCTTCTTCTTCTTCTTCTTCTTCTTCTTCTTCTTCTTCCTTACTATTCTTTTTAGGTTTCTCTTCTTCTTCTTCTTCTTTTTCTTTTTCTTCTTCTTCTTCTTCTTCCTTACTCTTTTTTTACAGTTTCTCTTCTTCTTCTTCTTCTTATTCTTTTAGGTTCTTCTTCTTCTTCTTCTTCTTCTTCTTCTTCTTCCTCTTCCTTACTATTCTTTTTAAGGTTTCTCTTCTTCTTCTTCTTCTTTTTAAGGTTCTTCTTCCTTCTTTCTTTTTACAGTTTCTTTCTTCTTCTTCGTCTTCCTTACTATTCTTTTACAGTTTCTCTTCTTCTTCTTCTTCTTTTAAGGTTTCTCTTCTTCTTCTTCTTCTTCTTCTTCTTCTTCTTCTTCTTCCTTACTATTCTTTTACAGTTTCTCTTCTTCTTCTTCTTCTTTTAAGGTTTCTCTTCTTCTTCTTCTTCTTCTTCTTCCTTACTATTCTTTTACAGTTTCTCTTCTTCTTCTTCTTCTTTTTCTTTCTTCTTCTTCTTCTTCTT